TCCCTCTATATTTATTCACGTTTATTTTTCCTGAAGCGCCTGTGATTTGAGTTTAGCGTTCCCTGTTGCACGGAATAAAAATGATGGTCTTTGTTGGTTAATTCTTATTAATCCAAGGAAAATACCGTGCTCTTTCCCCCTTTTAAGTTGTTGCTCATGGATATCTGCATGTGTCCCTTTGAAGCAAAAGGGTTTTAAGTTTCCGTCCTTAACCACCCTTTCCTGCCCTCTGCGCACCGCGGCCTACTTTGAAATTACCGTTTACTAATTAATACCATGGCTTTAAAGTTGAAAAAATGCATAACTGCTTTTTACGCAGCTGTAACACCAAAGTTAAATTCAGCGTACTGGGGGAGAAACTGCGAAGGGTCGTGATATTTTATGCTGTGTGTTCAACAGTAACTAAGTTGTATATTAATAAAGAGAAAAAAGCAGTATACAAATATTCTGTTTCGCACACTGTACACATATCTGGAATCAGCTCTTTTTAACTTCTCAGTGATTTCCTGATTAGTGAGAATTTCCTTAACACAGAATTGTTATGTCCTTCTGAATTCATTATTGCATGCAACTCCAAAAAACTCCTCCTGTTTCATTTATCATTTCTTACTTCCAGCCCAAATTTTCACTCCCAAATAGTGGCTGCAAAAGAGGGTTACGGTATCTTTGGGTCTGTTAATAGACGTAGGAAGAATAAATTTGGGTGCCTGCTAAGGGCTGCCATGAAGACATATGTTAGAACCACAGCTGTAAATACAGCATTTCTTCCTTCACACACTGGTTGACATAGGACAGGAGAGCGGCCTTACCCCCTCGCTTGTTGATCTTGGCGTAGCCCGGAGAATAGCTCGCGGACATGGAGGTGGAGCTGCTGAAGGCCACGTGGGAGAGCCCGGACACGAGGGGCTCATCACATTTTTCTGTAAAAAAAAAAAAAAAAGAGAGAGAGAGGCCATTAATAAAAACCTTTATACAACGATTGTTGTGGTTTCTGTTAAAAATAGTTACCGACCGCAGCACAAATTTAAAAATCTATGATAGGACAATTTAGCAAACAATCAGAATTTAGGCAAGTCCACTATGACATCCCAACAAATCACAGCGACGGTTTAAACCACCTTCTGGTTTTCAAGGGTTATAACTACAGCCCGGTGCTTCACTGCCGAGGGCCTCGATTCGGACCTGCTGTCTCAGGACCGTGAGCGAGGGGGAGCTTGTTTACTGAACAGCCTTTGCACCCTGGCAGCTCCTGACACTCTTCATCAGAGGAGAGGACTCCAAACACCGAGGCTGGAGGAGGGGAGGCCGGGAAGACTCCTACCCAAACGAAAAGACTAAGAAATAGGCGTCAGGAAGGGGGAACACAATAATGCCCAACTTGAAAAGCATCTAAAATGCATCAGTTCCCATAGTTGAACAGTCAACCGTGCCGGTGCCAGGTGGTCCTTCCATTCCGTTCTCTGCTTGGCTCCTACGGTGCCGCTCAGTTTTTTATGCTCCTCCCTCTGTACAAACTTGTTCCCCGAATCCTTTGATGGATCTTTCTCATTTTATTTACGTCTAAATTGTAAAGGACCCAGGACTCAGCCCTTGGGTTTCTTCTCCATCTACTCTCATTGCCCGAGAGGCTGCACCAAGGCCTGCGTCATCTCCTACTGGAACATCCCAAAGCTGCCACCGCTCACCACCTGGCCACCGGCCATCAGCAAGACCACAGAGCCTTCCTGCTTCCTCCCTTGTCCCCGTATCGCCCTTCTGAACATAGCAACCAAAGGGACACTATTAAAAATTTAAGGGGGAAATGTCACTTCTGGGCTTAAAATATCCACCGGCTCCTGCTCTCAAGCCCTCGGAATAAAGTCCGACCCCCTCCAAAGGCCGCAGTGGCCACTGCGCCGGCCTCATCTCATTCCTGCATCCTGGTCCATGGCTGTCCAGCCACCATGCCTGCCCCCGCCCCCCCTCAGCCTTCACAGTGACTATTTCAGCTGCCACAAGGCTCCACCCTCACTCCTCCCAGGCTCTGCTCAATGTCACCCTTCCTCGCTGCAGACAAGCTTAAGTCCACCTGGGTGAAAGAGCATGAAGCTGCCACCATCACTCTCTGCACCCACAGCTGCCCCCATTTTCCTGCAGGGCACTGAGAGCCACCTGACACGTTATGTTTCTACTCATCTAATTGTTTAGCCGACTGGGAGCTACATGGGAATAAAGTTTTTAATAGATTGCTTAATGCTTACACGAATAAATGAATGAATGAATGAATGAATGAGTGACCTCAGCATCCTAGAGCACACTGTTCAATTACAATGTGGCGCAAAGTCCGATTCATAGAGAGATGCTCTTTAAGTCCCCGAGAAATGTCAGTAGGCGCCCAGTCCTCCTTTCAGTGGCGCAGAGATCACCCTGCATATTCTAGAATGGTTTCCAGCTCACATGTTTATAAACAGAAAAAAATATTAGCAAATGAAGGAATGAACGAACTAGATTTCTTGCAAAGTCACTCAGGTGGAGTTATGTCCCCAATGATCATGGGGAAATGAATTATTATTCATTATCTCATCCCTCAAGTGGGTACAAATCTGAAGTTAAAATGAACAAATCCATCCTTATAAAACATTGTTAGATTTCTTATTTCTCTTAGGTGCACTGCAGGCGCCTCTGGGAAACATGGCATGTGCGTATGGATACGTTCCCCAGGAAGCTGAAGGTAAATGGATAAACACAGGAACATAAAATTTACTTATTTCTCTTTTTAAATGTTTTTATTGATTTTAGAGAGAGAGGAAGTGAGAGGGAGAGAGAGAAACATCCATGAGAAGCATCCATCTGTGAGAAGCTGCCTCCTTCACGCCCCCTACTGGCTGGAACCGAAGCAGTGACCTTTTGGTTCCTGGGCCGTCACTCAACCACTGAGCAGCACCAGCCAGGCTAAAATTTATTTTTAAAATATCAGCTCACAAAGCAGGTGTCTAAAGTGAAGAATTTCATATTAATTGTTTTCAAAAATGTATTATTCAGCCCGTCCGACGTGGCTCAGCGGTTGAGCATCGACCTAGGGTCCAGGAGATCGCGGTTTGATTCCCGGTCAGGGCACATGCCCGGGCTGCGGGCTTGATCCCCAGAAATAAGAATATTAAAAATAAATAAATAAAATGTGTTATTCAGTATGCCCAAATAAATAAAACCTTGATGCCCTATCTCCTGCCACTTTGGAGTCTAACTTTTAATACTATTTTGTCACAGTTCTGCATTTAACTGGAGGAATGTCACTTCTAAAGCCCCCATTATATTAAGAGTTGCTGATGTTCATTCATTTCCCATTCATTCAAATATGCACCAAGCACCTATGCTGTGCCAGGCACAGAAAATGTAGCAACAGATGAACTTGACAACTTTCCTGTCCTTGTGGAATTTAACGTTTTCGTGGAAAGAAAGAGACTAAAAAGTAAAAGGGAAATTTATATTATGAGATGGTGATAAATACTACAGAGACCTTAATATGAAAGAGGGGCAGGGAGTTTTGGGGTGCCTGGAGGTTGAGGGGGTTGCTACCTAGAAAAAAAAGCCTCTTTCGTCAGGTGACATTGGAGAAATGATCTGAAACAAATGAGGGCTGAGCCCTGTCAGAAACCCACAGCATCGTGCTGGGAGAAACTTCCTCAGTCCAAACCTGCTCCATAGGCTGACAATGAGTCATGCATTTTCCAAAAGCCAGCATTCAATGCATACATACTGTGACAGAGAAAGTAATTAAAATAGAGTTGATGAATAATTGATTAAATGACCCATTAGCTAAATTTAAATTTAGAACGTAAATAGAACATTTCTAAAACCTGAAGATAGTTTATCCATATTACATTTTTTTAAAAATTTGACTTTGGGAACAAATCATCCTAATACCAAAATTTAAATTTAAAACTATTTTTTTTAAATCATATAATTCATAACAAAATTAGAATAAAATTGGGATCATGAAATCTAAGAGCAAATAAGAGATTATCTGGATTTTTTGTAAAAGGTGGCAGTAAAATTATTATCAGAATGTAGGCACTAGCAATCTCACATTCTAAGCTGAGACTGAATTTATACCCATATAATAACCAAAACTGCTACATGTGCTGTATGTTTTCTTGAAAGACTTTGAATTACATATATTTATTGAGATTTTACTCGATGCCTTGTACTGTTCTAAACATGCAGCATATAAAACTAAAATATGTACCATTTGACCTTTTCTAGAAAAAGTTTCCCAAACTCTGGTCCAGTATAAAAAAATATTCCAGGTAACCAGGAAGGATACTGATTAGTGATCACTTATGGCATCAAATAATGTAGAAATAATAATAGAACCTAAAGAAGTGAGGACTATAGTGGAAAGAAGGTTAAAAATAGTGTAGAAAAAAGGAACAGCTTAAGCAAAATCACGGAGGCCAAACGGGTATGACATTTCCCAGAGACGGCTGCCATTCCACTCCATGCAGGGACATGGTGCCATATTGACTATTACGATGAACCATCCAGTTTTATTTCCAACTGTAACAATAGTTATGACACGTTCCACAGTCCAAAGAGCCAGCTCGCTGTTGTGTTAGAACACGTGTCTCAATATTCTGCAGATATTAAATGCTAGGAAGTCAGGCAAATTCCTGCAGAAAGTCACAATTTTTATAAAGCAGGGAGGGAGGGAATGCAAACATTTGAAATAATTTAGTATTGTATTTTCCCGTACCGGGATGTCTTCCAAAACCGCAGCTACACAGCGACGGCAAATATTTGGTCTCCGGTGAAGTTCCCTTCCAGAGAATCTTGGATGAAAACTGGAGGAGCAGATGGGCCTTGAGTTTTATTTTCACGTAATTTCAGTCAATCAGGAAAGCAGAGTAGCTGTAAGAATTCTGTTCTAATTCAATAATGGCTATTCCCTTTCACCTAAGGGAGGTGGGGTCTCTATTGACAAGGGACACGGGCAGGAGTCTGCAAGGTCAAAGGACGTCAGAACCCATAGAACGGACATTAGAGATGGCATTCAATCGTGTCGCTACTTAAAATAATGTAAAAATTTCACAACGATATCTTTTAAAACTATAGCACTTAAAATACGTGTTATATCACACATTTGGAAACATAAACCCAATACAAAGAAAAAAAAAAAGAAGAAGAGCAAATGACTCCAGAACCAAACAGTGCGATCAGGACAGGAGCTCTAGCAGCATCCTCAGCTGCACCTTCGGGAAAAAGCTATTAAGAAAGCACATTCTCGGTACAATGCAGCACTTAATGGTCTCCTTATGTCCTGTGCACTCAGCTCCTCACTTTTGAAGCTGGAACGTCTCTGCCTCGGGTTTTATGGCTGTTTTCCTCCACAGTCAGGACAAATTTAAGAGTCCAAACCTCCCTCTACACTCTCCGGTTCCAATCAATGCTCTTGATGGCCAAAACCATCTTGAATTTCAAGTTGAACGCTCGGCCTCCTTTCCTTCCCTAGCTCCCCTGGAGCATCTCAGGGCTTCCAAGAGATGCTCTGCCTTCCTCCCAGGTTCCTTTCAGGGCCGGAGGCCCCAGGACTGCACGTTGCCTCCTGTTCCTGAGTTTCCACGCTCTGCCCGCCCGGCCACGTGCCTGCCTATCGCCGACCGCTGCATTCGCCAGCCTGAGGGTGCAGCTCCCCCTGAACCCCCCTAACGGGCACGGGGCCCGACTGCAGCTTCCTGCGCTCCTAGAGAGACCCTGCTCGTGGCTACACTGCTCCAGGGACGCTGGGAAGCTCCTTGGGCGGAGGAAGTGCGATTTCCTGGCCAGCCTAACGGGGAGTCTCGGGATTTGAATGAAGAGGAGACCCAAGTCACGACGCAGGTGCTCCCCGAGTGATCGCCGAGATTAATGAAGCCGGCGACAGTCTTCACGAATTACAGGCAGCCATGCTCTGACCACGGGGAGGCTGGCGTGGGACCTGGTGCGGCCGTATTCCAGAAACTTTACTCCCAAGATTACGATTTCTATTTTATTTTTCTATTTCCTTTTCAAGAAAGAAGGGAGGGAGGGAAGAAAAAAAGCAAGGCATAGCACTAATAATACCTTCACAACCTGCTTCTGGATAGCTGTGGCAGGCCCACTATTTTTACCCCCCATAAACCTGGGCTGCTGGTCAGGTTTATGGGGGGTATTTTCGAGCACTTCGAAAATACAGAAGTATTTTCTTTCCATACACTGAGAAATGTGGTGCTCTGTCTTTTCTCAACACTCATTACCTGAGTAGGCACTGTGTCTTCCACCTCTGAACTTGGCTAACTTTAGCATTCTATCAAAAATCAAAAACCAACTTAGATCATTCCACATGGCATCTGTGGAGACCTCGTAGCCCAATAGCTTTTTTAAGGGTGTGTAGTAATCATATCTGAAAGCCACATTTTCTTTAAATTTAATAATTTATAGAACCAAATATTCAAGTATTGTATTAATTATTCAATAATATGTGAAAATACAGGAAATAGAAATGGGACATTCTCTTCCAATATTTTTTATAAAATTTTTGGCACAGTTGAGATCCGTATTTTTACCTTACCATTGTCTAATACATATTTTCTCAGGGTAATAGTGACTTTCAGAGGTAGCATTAGCTTGAGGTTGCCCCAACATGAATGCAGAGGGAGAGAGAGCATGCCCCTCAAGGCCAAAAGATCTAGGTTTTATCTCCATCAGCATGAATTTGGATGATTTAATCTAATTTTATCTTATCCACAGTCTCCTCAGGTTTTCCATGATTCCAAAAGTCTTTTTCCATAGCAATAGAAAATAAACTGTTTAAAAAAATCAGTGTTACAGGAGTATATTAGAAAAACTGCTCTCCTTACGGCAAAAAAATCACTGAATCCAACTCGTCTATTTTATGTGTCTTCCCTTCCATGGGGTAAGAAAAAATCTGACCACTTCGATGTTATTAGGAGACGTGCGGAGCCGGGGAATGAACCCAATGCGACATAAATAGATTTTATCCGAAGGGAGTCTAGACATGGAGTGTCCTCGAAATACAGACCTTAAAAGCACAGACTCACATCTTTTTTGCTATTGTTAATCCTTACATGAGGATATTTTTCCCATTGATTTTTAGAGAGAGTGGAAAGGGGGGAGAGAGAAATCTGGATGCAAAAGAGACATATTGATTGGTTGCCTGTCACACCCGCCCTGACCAGGGCTGGGGATCTTACCTGCAGCCCAGGTCCATGACCTTGACTGGGGATTGAATCTGCGACCCTTCGGTGCCTGGGCCCATGCTCTAGCCACCGAGCCACACGGGCCAGGGCTAGATTCATACCTTTTAACTAAAAGGGAGAGCTTCCTGAAGCTTTAAATAGGGGCTGGAAGGGAAAACCCCACACACTCAGCCGCCCGATGCATATGCCTACCTCCAATAAGTAGACTTTCAGCAAAGTACATCAAATCTATTCCACCGATTCGTGTAATAAATATTTATTGGGCACTTATTTTCTGCTTCAACCTTTAGCCCCTTAAAATCCATTTTCTTCCCAGTAGCCAGATGGATCTTTTAAAAATGGAACTCAGGTTATTCCAGGTCCTGACAGCCTCCCATTTAGTATGAAATCCAAACGCCACAAAGCCTGCGATGTGCCGGCCTGAGTAACACTGCGCCGTTTCATCTCGCGGTTCTCCTTTGGGTCGCTAAGCTCTAGTTTCACTCTCCTTTCTCTCTTTTTCAGACACACCAAGCACACTCCTTCTGCCCAAAGACCTTTCCACCCTCCCTGTGCCGTCTCCCCTTTTCCTGGCCCATTTATCTACGTCAAGCAACTCACTCTCTGCCTTCACACCCTCCAGACATCACTTGCTGATCAATCGCACCGTTTCATTTTGCTCATAGCACCAAACGCAATCTAAAATTACCTTGTTAATTTTTTTAAAGCTTGTTTATTACTTTTTATTTTCCTCTTTGAGACAGTGATTTCACTATCTTTGGATGTATACCTGGCAGTGGGATTGCTGGATCCCATCGCAATTCTGTTCTACAAATTACACTTTAAGGTTTTTCCTTCGCTTTCATTTTTTCTTTTGAAACGGGTATCCTATTTTGAAACAAAAAGTAATGGTCACAGATTCAACCTTATGGATACGCATTAGCATCTTGCAAGGAATTAGGACTTGGTTAAAAGGCAATAACTCCAGTTACTGTGAAATGTGAGAAGCCTTCAAGGAAATCTAAGGGCCAAATCGATTTCAATAGACAATAGAGGTTTCAATCTACTTTGTAACTCACAATCCTGGCCTAATTCTTACGTTTCTGTGCAGCATCCATGCTCTCTGATTCCACCTCTAGAAAATAGTTTTTTTCTCATAGGAAATATTGATTGATTGATTGATTGACTAAAAACCATAAGAACAGGGCATATGCCTGGATTGCTGAGCTTCTATTCCTGGGGCTTAGGAACCTGCCCTGCAGCACGAATTTCACGAAGGTTGTTGAATCGACGAATTACTGACAACCGTAAATAACAAGTCCATCTAAAAGTGAGCAAATAGGGATGTATTCGCTTTACCTGAAGGATACTTCTGCATTTTTCCATTTTTAAAAACTGCTTGTATAAGGAGAGTTGGCTTTGCCCCGCGAAGCGATTCAGAAACCTCCCTCGCCTGTATCCCTCACGGGAAACACACCTCGCTGACCCTGATCAACTCAAAATGAGCTGCACTTCGGAGCCCTTGAATTAGGCAGAGGGTTTGTCTGTACCATCAGGACATACCTCCAGAACTTTAACAGGTCTTGGCTCCAGCAATGTTTTTGAGAGTTAAATCTATCGGCTTTTCCAGGCTAGCACTTTTACATCTCTTTTGTTTGTTTTCAATTTATTTTATTTTTCCCATCACCATTTGGCCCCTCTGTGCCCTCCCACCTCCGCCCCTCACCCCACAGTCGCCACACGGTTGTCCCTGTCGATGAGTGTCCTCTCTCTCTCTTTTTTGATCAATCCCTCCAACCCCCCAATACCTCCCACCACCAACCAGAGCCGCCAGCCTGCTCCCTATGAGCCTGTCTGTTTTGCTCGGTAGTTCAGTTTGTTCCTCGAATTCCACATATGAGTGAAGTCATATGGTCCTTGTCTTTCTCGGATTGGTTTGTTTTCAAAAGCACCTAAGACTCTGGTCTTTCTAATAGCACAGTTTTATTGAAAATCGATTGTGATAAGTATCTGTTTCTATGTTGATCTCCCTGCTATGTGCTGATCTCTTCCCGAAGGGGACTTCCTCCCATCCTCAATAGGTGGAGAGTAGAGCACACAGTAGGTATTCTCCATATGCTTTGCAAAATGTTGAACATGATCGGCATAGAAGTGAATGACAATGAATAAAGTCAATGCTATTACCTTAAAAAACATCAGATCATCTTTCTTTCATTTTTCCTTTTGGTTGGTCCAACAGCTATGCTCCGAAAAATATTTAAAATATAGCTGGAAAATCAGTCACATTTGCAAGAATCTTGGTTATAAATCAAACAGGAAATTGTCTGCTCTGCATGGACCAAGGGCAAATCACTTCGAGACTTGTAGTTCAAATTCTGCCGGACATTTAACAGCTGCAGCATATTTCTGACAGATGGTCTAACAGATGAATCCATTTCAAATTATCTACTGAACTGTTATATACTATAAAAAAAACACGCACACCCGAAAACAGATTTGTGAGGCTTGGAAAATAATAACTTTCTGCCTCCTCTAAGTTGAGCTGCTAATTTCACAGAACTAAAACCGATCGCTCAAAATAATAAAAATTAACTTTTACCCTCTGTGTCGTCTAGAAAAGTTTTTGAAAACTTAATTCATATCATTTTATGCAAAAAGCAGAAGTGACATTCCAAGATGGAATGGACTGCTTGTCCTAGAACCAGGCAGAGGTTTTCATCTCTGAAACGATGGTGAGAGTGGTGTCTTTTTTTTTTAAGTCAAATTCTGCAGTCTCATAAGGAGCCCGAGCTACCAGCGCTTTTAATAAACCGATGACTTGAAGAGTGTCAAGGTCAACTGCAATGTGACAAAATGAACCTGAGCACTCGGACTTTCACCCGCAATCTCTCCGCGGTTGAGGCTTTTTTGGATTGAGGTTTGTTGGTCCACTGGTAAGTGTCTCAGTTTTTGACTGTCTTGTTTCATTAGTCAGCTAATTCAATGACAAAATTTAACAACAGATGCAGCGTAGTTATTGACAACCAAGTCTATTTCCTGGACTACCTGACCCGCATTTTACTTTTCAATAATTGACTAAAGTGCTACAGAGAGAAACATCCCCCGTGGTCCTGCCTGGTCACGACGGATCAGGTCACACATGCAGCTGGTTCAAACCCAAACGCTCTCGAGTCCACAAAGCCACGCTGCAGAGTGTTTAATCGACAATTACTTATGGTAGTTAAATCAAAGAAGTAGGACATCAAATGGTATTTGGTATAGGACCTTAATTTTTTTTGACGGGTACGTTTATGGATAAAGAAATGATAGAAAAAATATGTAAACCAAAATTTAGAGTTATAATTCTAACTAATTCCAATCAACATTTTTCCTTCAATATTTATAGCAAGAGAAATGAAATGGGAGAATGTTTAATCCCCTGGGCATAACTTCATTTTCAGAAAATTAAGGATTTATTTAAAAAATACCATTGGTTTATCTTAATTAGTCTAGCATTGGTGCATTTATCCAAACCTTCTTGAGCTTATTTAGGTTTCCAGTCTCATGCTGTCATTTGAAGTGACAACTTCCAAGCTATTCCCTTGCATCTCCCGGGAGTCTAATTTGATTTTCCGAGTGTGTTCCTTCAGCGACACGGGACCGAGTATCAGGTACAGCGGGAGGAAGCTGCACCTTCGCCCATTAAGGCTCATCCTGTAGTTGGCTGATTATGGCCAATTGAACGGTTATTGGAAGGGACTGGCAGGCAGGGTGAGGGTGTTGTTGGAGGTGTGTTCTGGAAACGAGACATCAGAAGGGGTACGGGGGCCGGTGAGTAAGCCGATGGCGATGGCCTTACGACAGGAGCAAGTTGCAACAGACATTTTGGAAGGTGACTGAGATGAGCTTCCAAAGGGGTGTGCAAGGTAATAGAGGGACCAGAGGCAAAATCACCGAGATGTCTAACCAGGGGGCCCACAGAGTGGTGGTCGTTCAGAGAGCCAAGGCCATGAAGCACGGGACTGGGGTAACCTGCTTTCACCATTTATTAAGACAAGACGCTTGACTCCTACAAGAGCATGTGCCAAGATGATATCTTCACGCTCAGCTGGTTTCATGCTTTTAACTAAAACCACCAGTCGCAGGTTCTATCAGTCACTTGTTGAAATAAGAAAGTTTGCTTAACCAGGGGATGGAAGACAAGGATCGTAGCATCTGCAAAATC